CAGTGAGCAAACAGCCAAATGAGCGAATCCACGGCTCAGGCAGGTACAGCGTCATTACAAACCAGATCTGTTGTCGGAGGAAATGCATGCGCTTGGATTTGTGTTTGACACAGGGGGGAAAGAACAACCTTGGCTTGGCTTGACAAAATGCATCTCCTTTGTTTGTTTGGGCTTGAGGGTAAATGAATGTAGATGTGGACGCAGACTGAGGTAAAAGTTGCGTATACGCTGACCTGACCTGAACTTACTCAGCAAAAGGGCAGCATCTAAACAGCTTTCAAACATTGTTCCTGATAAACAGTTGCACTATAATCAAATACTATCAGTAGTATAATTAATCGCATATTGTCATTATATAGACCAGTCCTTCTCATATAGTGCAATAGTTTTTGCTGTACGTACTAGAACAGGATTCCACATTTCCGTTTCAGTTCGGACCCATCCAATTGTAGCTTTGCTGCTTTGTAGTGAGTTACAGCGGTTCCATATCCCCTGGGTCCGCTCACCTCTGTCACTCGAGCAGCCTCTGAGAGTTTGTCTGCCTGTGTGTGTCAGATCTACCCCCACTGTTCACTCCAAACAGGAAATACCATGAGAAGAATCTCCTTGATTAGAAAGTAAATATAGTCCAGGGGGATTGTATAACTGATGATTGGAGATTGTATGCACTGTGGCTTTGATATGTAGGCTCAGTGCGGTGTGAACTCACTCAGCGTGAACCCATCGTAGGTGCTGGAGAAGCATAGAACGGCCGCTTTGACAGCTACACGCAGCCAAAGTGCGGCCAAGCTGGGGTCGGCGTCCAAACAGGATCGTTCCCTGAACAGCCTGCTGCAAGTGTGCATTTTTGCGCCGCTGTGCACGTGACACGTGCACCTCCGCAATGAACTGCTTCTCACTGGCCTTAACTTTATTCCTTTATTTGAAGGAGGAGCCCCTCAATGAAAACAAGTCAATTATTTGACAAGTTGAGATAAAGTTGAATTAAAACTACTTTAATGGTAATAATAACTATTGAAGATGCATATGAACTTTGATTATCACTTGTTTCCTCCATTAGTGCACTTTCTTAACCATAACTCTAATCAATGTCATTGTTCTCCATGTATAATTATGTCATAATCAAAGCTAAGTGCTCTACCACACTGTGGTGACTTTGAGTAAGTATATATCGGAAGTTGGGGTTATAAGTTATAATTATACACCATGATTGTTCTCTGCCATCAAGTTTTCTGACAGATTATACACAGGAGCAACGGACTTTCCAGATAAAGCTCCAGTTAATCATAATTGGTGTTAATTAGGCTTATATAAGCCAAAAGCTAAACTCATTTACATGCAAATTATCTGTCTGACAATGTTGATGTACATTTATAGTTTAACCCAAACACCTGAAAATCCAAACAAAATATCAAACCTGTTATTTCTCACAGCCGTAAGTGCTCCATCAAGGCGCTGTAATAATAGCTATTATCTCTGCTGCATTGACTTTATTGAGACCTCCCATGTAAATGAGCGTCCCACACATTCTCAGCAAACTCACAACAGCCTGGCGGTTTTTGTCAGAGGGCAACATTTAAAAGTCAAATAGAAATCAATAAAATGGATTAAAGGCATGTTTGTAGATCAGAGCATCCTGAAAGGCACCACAGGGTTACCAAAGAAAGGAAGAGGAGTAAAAGTGAATTTAAGGATAGACCTCTTGTGCTGTTCTATTGCCTTCTGTAAGAAATGGCTCAATTCAATAAACCACAGCTGACCATCAGTTGTAACACACACACACAGGAGTTACATTTGTCAGCTGCAAGGGCATGTGGTACTCGTGCCACCTCCCCTCCACTGGCAATGAGACTTTCCACATTCTCACAGTACGGCTGACAGTCAAAGTCCTCTTTGTAACTATATCATACTAGAACACATCAAAACCATAATATACGCCACGCATGAAACATTATATACTCTATATTTTATCTATATCCTACAGATTAATCCTTTGCTGTCATTCCACATGTGTCTAAAAAGATTTGTTATGGAAAAATATTATGTAGAAGTTAACATTTGCCTTAAGCAGTCTGTATCTTTAGATTTATGGTTTACCAATTAAAAAAACAACTTCAAAAAAATTATATATGTGACTTCTCAAAAGGAAATATGAGCTCTCAACTAAACACAATTTTTTTGCATGAAAACAGGAAGGCTTAAATAATTGTTATTTGGATGAAGCTTTTGAAAAAAGGTTAAGGTTAAAGGACACTTTATTGTACCTGTTTTCACTCAACCTCAAAGGATCCTTCAATCCACTCGGCCAATCTTTCAGCAGCAGTGTAGCCATCCCCAGGTCCATGTTTTTGGGGGATGGGAAACCATGGAAACCCATCAGACACAGCCAGGAACATGCAAACTCCACTCAGAAAGGAACAGGGGAACCAAGACCCTCTTGCTGTGAGTCTATGGTTATGCAGCAAGGAGCTCACAGCCTGTGAGACATGAGTGCTACCCACTCAGCCATCTTCCCACTTTAGGGCAATTTTGTTGAAGATTTGAGTCTTCTTTTCTGTCAGAATGTATATTTTTGCACACATTCAACCCTGTCCTTGTGTATTGCTTCCACAGCCCGCCTACGACTTTCTCACATTACTGCTCATCTATACAATATTTATTCAATTCAGATTATATTTTTGTCCCATTTTGATATCGTTTTTTGCCTCTTAATAACAGAAAATGTCTGGCTGTGTGGGCTCGCTCGTTTGGCAGTAGCTAATGAATTGTGCTCCCTCTCCTGGTGGCCTGTGCAGAGAGAGAATTTGGAAGCACCTTGCTGCATACATTTGCATAATAATGAGCTTTTCTCGTCGCTGGAATTATTTCTGAAGCGTAAGTTCTGTTTGCCTTTAAGACTTTGGAGTCCGCTTTAGTATATTTGCCTATAGTCGACTTCATTAGCATCGCTGGAAGAATGTTTTTGTTTATGAGAAATGCCTATGGAGCCACACACACCTGTTTGTTCTGAGACACAACTCTTAAATTGAAATAAATATGTGGCTCTCGCTGTAGTGACTTCAACCACAGTCAAATGCAGTGCTTGTTGTTGTTCGTGATAAGTGTTGGAAGGTACTGAAGAAGGTTACTAAAAACTTATTATTATCAGGAAAGTATAAAATCTGCTTTTATTTCTTTTACTACAGGACTTTGCCAATGTGCTGTATGTTTTCATTTGACGGGGAATACAGGTGAATTACACGTGATAGGTCTGAAAACTAGTGATAGAACCAAACATGGATTCTGTTAAATACTTAATTCAGTGTGGTTTCAAAGTTAGGTCCACCCGTTTTGTGGGTCTAATAATGTCTTATCAAAAAATTATGTCTGCCTGCTGAATTACAGGGGTTGCCTCAACTCATGTTACAAGTTGATTTAATAACATTTGCACTTGTAAGCATGTATTTCCTGCCCATTTCTTTAATAGCGCTACAACAATGGACACGACAGGTTTAATGCGGTGAATGAACGCAGCTTTGCCACTAAATGTTTCTTGCTCATAATTAAACTCAGATCAGGTGTAGCAGAAATAACCCATCTGCTCCTCTGTGTTCTCTGTAATTATTCCCAGCATAAACCAACATATGCTGCGGCTTTCACACCGGGCCGTGAATTTATTCATCTTCCCCAAGACCTGTGCATTATACTGAATGCATCAGTCAGTCTCACACACCTTCATCATGAATACTTGGTTTATAATAATCCATCAAAGAGCCTGATAAGAAGGATGACAACAACTGAAAGAAGAAATGTGTGAAGACTTACGTTTCTATTAAAATATGACTAAGAAATCTAGATTGTATTAATAGGATGTTTAATGTCGCCTTCCATTTATGTATATAGTTTACACTATGTTAATTATTCAGCTATATTGATGTTTACTCGCACCATTTACAAAGCATTCACAGCTACGTATACCTGTATATTTTGTGTGCTCTTTGTGTGAGTGCTGCAACACCGGCATTTCCAATGTTAGTTATCTTATTATAATGTAAAACACATGTCTCATGACCCACAATGACAAAAACAAGCATATCTGTTTATCTTTTTTATTTAAATGTTTAAGTTTCCAAATGTTGTATTACAGTGTTCTATTTATCATATTACTTATTTAATCATTTCATTTTTCGTATCTATTATCCCAAATAATAGATTATGTTTGATGTGTGCAATCTCTTATTCCCTTCTTTTTCTAAGGGAAAAATGGTATGTGCAACGATGACAAATAAAAGGCTATATCATCTTATCAAATGCCCCATCGGTTAATTAAACGCAGTCGTAACTAAGAACGCACTTCGTCGAGCGCAGACCTCTGTCAAGAGGCACAGTTCCGTTCTTTGAGGAGTAAATTCTCACGATAGTGCGTCCTCTGGGATCAATAAATGGCTAATGAAAAGTTCTCCCTCGCTCTCCCTTGTGTTTTTCTTTTTCTTAATTACAGATGTGCATTTTAGATGCTTTGAGTTCACAGCCGCTGTACTGTTGCCTCTTCACCTCATCTCCCCTCTGCTCTGGAGATTACACTTGTGTGCTTAAACACTAAATAATACATATCGTCAGCCTTTACTTCATGTGCTCCATGTTCAGATAACATCTGTATCCAGCACCGTTGATCCCCTGTGTGGAGCATGTGTGGAGCATGTGTCGGCTCCGTGTGGGCTTCGTGTGTGCTGTTTGTAAAGGGCTTCTGTCTGTGAAGCTACTTTGTGATGAGAGGCGTGGCCTCGGGTCAGAGCGAGGCAAATCTTCCGAGAAGGCCCTAACTAACAAACAAATTAACAAACTTTGCAGACCGTAAAACCTTCGACCCTCGCAGGGGCAGAGGTTTTGCTTTTGGAATGGAGGAACTTGTAGAAGTAGCAAAATAAAACAAACAGAGCAGATATACCAATGCTCCCAGTCAAATGCCACCCGTAGCAACCATCGCTGTAGAAAGATATTTTCTGTTTTTTTTTTTTCAGGAGTGAGTTGCATTGGGGAGAGTGGAGAAGCGGCTAACATGAGTGCATGCCTGCTGTGGGCCGGACCTTTGCCTTCTCAGAGTCGTGGCTGCAGAGTTCCCTGCAAAGACGACTGCTCCTTCACCACATGGTCCAAGTTCAGCGAGTGCTCCGGCTGTGGCAGCTTCAGGGCCCGCAAACGCTCCCTCACAGGTACAAGTCTTTCTTTCATATTCATAGAAAAACTTTGCTGAAGCTATTTTTTTATCATTGCTGTTTATCCCCTTGATGGAACGTCTGTGAATGAGGCTAAACCCACTCATATCTATACATTTACATATCATTCATAACATATATATTTACAGTATAAATGTAGTTTGTGGTATACTTAGTATCATGTTTGCAGTCACTATAACTTTGTTTTTGACAGTTTCCTTGATTTCTGGCTTAAACCTAAAGCCTTATTTACATTAACAACATTTCATCTGTTTTTTTTTGTCTCCCCATCACTTGATTTTATCTCTGATCATCAGTTTAAAAAAAATGAAATTAAAGCATATCCTGATAATGCACCTGGCTAATTTCCAGATTCCAAAAATGCTTGGAATCATTTCAGTCTGTATTACCATAAAGTGTCAAGGGAAAAAGCAAGTTAATTTCCCTGGACAGTACTGTTTTCTTTCCCCTTTTTACTTTGTTCCTAGAATTACTGAAAATTCAAGTTAGATTGAGTTAAAGATGTGAATAATGTAATAGCTGCCCATAGCATGAAAACTGCTGTTGGTTGGATATTATATTTTGGTACTAGAGTCCTGGAAGAGAAGGCTCGGTAATCATAAAGATCCACAGATTTCTTTTCAAATGTAGTTATTACCAACTGCCTTTTGGGTTACATTTTTAGCATTAAATAAATCATTGGAGTGCAATGGTGAATGATGTATTGAACATGAGGTATAACAGGCCATACTAAGACGTGTGTTTGTTAATTGTGTTGTACCATACATATAAAAGTTTAAAATCTGCTTAAACTGATGCTTTAAATAATCATTGCTTCTCCCTATTCCTTTTTTGGTTGGATATTATATTAGATAATGTGTATATGTCACTTTGTTGATTTGATGACCAAAATGAAACTAATCAATCAAGGTAATAACATTGTTCAGTATACTATAGAAGAACCAAATACTTTTATTCCTACTTCATAGTGTCTCTTTTGGTGCATACTGGTGGCCTCGCTTCTGTCAGTGTGCCCCAGGGCAGCTGTGGCTACTGTAGTAGTTTATCAGCAACATGTATGGAGTGAGTGAATTGTCATGTGAAGTGTCTTTGAGTGTCCAAAAAAGCGCTATATGAAAACAATGCATTATTATTTTGTTTCGACTCTCAGCCGCAGCCCTCTTCTGCCACTGTAGCACGGTGTCAGGTCCAAATGAAGCCGGCGATGCTTTATTTGGGTGCAGATGGCCAAAAAGAGAGTTGCATGCTGTGGTTCCAGATGAGGCTGGCTACTATTTGTCTTCATGAATATTTGATCTTGTGCCAGAGGGCGCGCAGTAAACATGGCCTGTCTCCTTCTATAATACTCTTAAAACGCAAGACTTGGCCCAGAGCTGGTGGATTTTCATGCTCTTGTTCAGTAGGTCATAATGGCAATGAAAGCTGATTTTTCTGTTTGTTTACCTGCTTTAAACACTGCCGGCTGTATTGGCACAAAGTACATTAACGTGGGTTTTACAGTTCAGTGTATGCAAACCAGTGCCAGAAAATAGGAAGGCTTCTGCTTTGATAACGCAGAGGCTAAAAAGCTTCCCGTCATAGGTTTGGCAAAAGCTATTTCTGCAAAGTCTGCATTTGAATTGCAACATGTGTAATCCGTTTAGAAATGTGTTTTACCTTTATGTGTGCGCTGACAACCTGGCATGTTTCATTACGCATCAACAGAATAAGAACTGGAGCTAAAAAAAAAGGAAATTGGAATCAGTAAGTTCTAAGTAGCGCTGAAACAGTTCTTGTTTGTGCTTTATTTTATTTTTTTCTCCCTGAGATGTTGCTGCAGTACAGTGTTCATGGGTTTGCACTGGTCCAGACCGGAGCAGAGAGGATTCATGGTCCAAAACAAGCGGATCAGGCAAAAATCCACCGGAGGAAGCTAGCTTTTTGAAAATGCTAATGAAGTATTCAGCCTTTTACTTTAGACTACAGCAGAGAAAATGGTCCGAACAATCGTAATAATGGTTCGTACTGTTAGCTTTTTAGAATGATCAATTTTGTTTTTTATTTTTGCTGCTACTGGACACCTGAATTTCTCCTGCAGAGATCAATATAGATATATGTGTATCTATCTATCTCTATCTATCTATCTATAAGATAAGAGAACCTTTATCCTTCCCTTAGTCCCTCAGTATTGAGAGCACAGGTTATGCAGCAAACAAGATCTACTATTTAAAGATGATAAATAATAAAATGATAATGATAATTGTGATTGATGACTTCATGCTTGGTACCAACCAAGCTCCTCAAAAGTAACAAAGTATGTATATGATTTATAAAAAAAAATTAGTTGAGTGAATCATTACTGGTACAAGATTAAGATTAAGGGTGTATTCAGACCTGCACATTTGCTCCACTTTAAACGGACCAGGATTCGTTTGGAACTCTGATCCGAATCTTTTATGCAGGTCTGAATACACACAAACGAATCCTGGTCCGGACCAAAGAACCGAACCGAGACCCACTTTTTGAGGTGGTCTCGGTCTGCTTCCAAACGAATTCTGGTCCAAGTCGAATCAGGTCTGAATACATCCGGTGTCGATCCGACACAACTCCAAAATACGTGCGCATTTTTTGGGCTTAACAAGCCGCAGACAGAAACTGAGGAATTAGCCACGCAGCGGCTGCTAACTATGCTGCTAACTATGCTGCTAACTATGCTGCTAACTATGCTGCTAACTATGATGCTAACTATGATGCTAACTATGCTGCTAACGCTACACAACAACACTGAGCCGTGTGCAGACCTGGAGCAGTGAGGAGACGCTGTGCAACAGGCTTATGGAGTTACAACTGTTCACAGTATACATTGATGTTAATGGCAGCATCTTCAAACCATTTGCATTATTAAAAGCCTGACACTGTTTGACTCACGTCTCAAAGAGCAATATTCTGCATCATGTGGTGAATTGTGTTCTTTGGTTCATACCTGATCCTCAGCGTCTGTTTGTCCCGTGGTTATTATAGATCCATGGTTTATCCACAATGCTGAACAGGGCCGTTATTATCATAGATCCATGTGTGGGACAGTTATTATCATAGATCCATGTGTGGGACAGGACAGGACACGGAGCGCACAGATAGTCTCTCCTTCGGCTTTCTCCTCACGCATTCTCAGACGCTGTTCCAATATTTAAAACAACGTGTTTCGCCTGCGTCATATGAGCTGCTGTTGATGATGTTGAAGGTGGTTTTGCTCTAAAAAGAGCAAACAGAGGCAGAGCAGACATGCTGCACATACGAGCCCTCAATGTTTTTCTCCGGTTCTGCGTCTATCCTCCGTGAGCTCTGCTGTCCAATAGGAGCGCCGATCGTCACACGTGTCAATATGTTTATATAAAAAAGTTCACTTGCAAAAAGGACAGTCTGAATAGGAACCGGAGCAAAAGACAAAAGTTTGGTCCGCTTTTGATTCGGATCAAGCAAGCGGAGCAAAGGACTTTTCAGGTCTGAATACACCCTAAGAGATCCTCTATTTGTCCCACAGTATATATAAAATAAAACAAAATCTCTAACTCTAGCATCAATAACAAGTATAAAAACTCAATCTTGAAAATAATAATAATAATAATAAAAAGAAGTGTAAAAGTTTTACATTTGACAAAATAAGAGGCAAGTTTAAAGTACCATGTTTTCTAGTGCAAACAATGAGTAGTTATATGTTTACATCTGTACATTAGCAGCAGTATGTTTACATCTGTACATTAGCAGGGTTTTTTTTTGGAAATTGCATCAAAGTTTAAGTGGTAATTTTAGATAACTGTGATATATTTGTTTAAAACTATGAGTTACATATTGAATTGGACTTAATGTATGTTTTTAGTGTTAATGATTTATGTGAGGATTTATGCCGTATGTGATGTGGGCTGTGAAGCATTTAGTGTTACCCTGTGTAGAAAAAGCGCTATGTTGATTGATTGATTGCTTGATAATATTTCAAGGTGTCAAAATAATACAAACACTAGAAAAGTGTCCTCTTTTATAAAACACATCAAAAGCCAAATTGATTTCTTAAATGTGAAGGAAGCCATTGAAAAAGAAATAGCAATCAAAGTGAGCCACCCTTATTCAGGATGGAGTGAATTATTTTGTAAAGCTTTGAGTGCCTGTGCCCTGATTTCTTCTTTCTTGCAGAAATGATGTGAATGCCAGTCTGTCATTCCTTTATAAAAGCAGAATTTCAAGGTTACATGATTTTTCCCAGAAGAAAATTCAGACCCTTGTGCATGTTTCCATTTATACAAAGTTGGGACTGACACAAACTGTGAAGAAAATTCTCAAATGGAATCCACTTAGAGGACGCTGCCGTGCTGCTTGTTGCTTAAAAAATTTAACATTAAATTAAACATACTAATGGGCTGTGATATCTCACTAGCTTTCAATGATTTACTCCCATACGCAGGCTGCTGTCTGGATCAAAATATTGTAAATATATCATGTTTTCTGGCTGTTGACATTTTGACACGTTGGCTTTGAGTGCATAAATTCAAGTTAAACTAATTGGGATGGAATTACCTAGTCTGCTCTCTCCCTTGACATATGACATTTTCAAACAGAACTTGGCTTTCTGTCTGTTATCAATCAAGCACTTTCCTAATTTCTAAGACAAGTTTGCAGAGCTTTTTTGGCATTCTGATGTCACTATGACAGACTTTTTTATTGATTTGCATTTATGTTTAACTTTGGAAAAGAGTGTTACACATTTGTGGCAGATAAATCAATTTTAAACTGTCAGCAAAGATATATGTATGTCCAATGCTTGACAGATTTTCATGTTTTAATAAACGTTTTGAAGTTTTAGCATAGTGTTCTCCTCACGGCTTCTGAACAGAGCAAGAATTGTAATAAGGCTTTCCTCTGTGGTGTGTTTAGGTTTTAGAAATGATGAGTTTCTGACCAGTTGGTTTGATGCTCTGTCTTTGCTTCTTCTTGCCCCCTTATAC